ATTGATGGTTTCTGTTCCAAAGTCATAATATTTATACAATTGTAAATAGAATTATTAAAATCAAATTTTGATCTTAAATATTCTAAAATTGTCTTAATAAAAATATCTGCTTCATTTAAATATGTATTAATTAGAGTATTATTTGAACATTTTAATATAATATTTTTAGCAATAGCGCCATAAAATTTATTATCAATTTTTAACTATAGAGATGAACAGAGCTGTAGCATGATTTTGTGAATCATTTTTAATAAAGAATATTCTGATTGCAACTGAATATTAACTGCATGCAGTAGATTTCCTACATGTGAAAAGAATCCCAAATATACTTCTGCCATTTCATACTAGAAAATTTTTTTCAAATTTTAGGACAGCCTTTAAAATCTTTATTTAAGAAGTATTTTTTTAAGGGTTTGTAAAATTTTAAAATTCTATCGATGGCAGGTATTAATGACAACCACCTAGGTATATATCGCAACAACTCACACCATTCCAAGTCAGACCACTTCACCAACTCTTTTAATTCATTAATTCTTTTAGTTGAACTAAATTCGTATAAACATTTCATCACAATTATTTCGACATCCACAGACAGTACATTCATTGGCTTCTTGCAAGAATTATTTAGTATATATGGCATATACAGCCAATTGGTATTAATTCATTTGTGCTGCCTCAATTCGGTAACTTTAGTTTTGCCAAAATTTACAGAGGCATTATCAGCGCAGAAAGCTGGCATGCAAATCATTGATAACCTTGAATCAGCTATATTTACCCTTATGTGGCTAGCTACATCGTTCGATTTTTCACTATTTGAGGAAATTTTTTTAACAGTTGTATTGAAATGTTCTTATTCTTGGTGAAATTGCAAAGGATCGAGGGAAATGTTTTAATATTTCCCTTATTAGATACATTTGTTAGGATTGCATATGGATGCCCATCTTTCAAATCGTCTAGAATTGACCTCTAGGATTCAGGTACCAAAACACTTGTGATAGCCTTGCTCATTTTTATTGCCACAAGTAAGGTTTGCACTTATATTGAAGTCGTTAAATATCTTGAGAAAAAGATTCGACCCACATTGTAATGATATATATAGAGCTCTGTGAATGTTGAACTACATAATAGATGTATACGATTTCCGCAAATATAGTTTCATTTTGAGAATATTTTTGTATTGCAATCGATGTTGATATACTCCCCTGTACTGACTAATATTAATGAAATAATGTTGATTTATTATTGGATAAAAATAAAACAGGATAGAAAGAAATTTACAAACTAGACATGTTTTTCGAATAAATATTTAAAATTTAATTTAAAAATATAAAAATAATCAATAAATGTCTCAAAATTATTATTTACATATTAAAAACGTTTAAAATACTTTTTTAAAAAAATTGCGGGAGAAATTAAAAAATTGCGGTAGATTTTTGCGGGAGATTTGCAATTGTGGTAGTTTTGCGGGAGAGATATCTGCGTGTAAACTAAAAAATTGCGGGAGTCCCGCTGATGGGAGAGACATAGCAACCCTGTTCATACTTAAAGGTTGCTATTGTCTATTTCTCTTATTAAAACTAGTTTTTGTTTATTGACTAGAGAAACTGATTGATGGAGTAGTAAGTACTAATCTGGCATTTCTATGGTATGAGCTCACCCAAAAAAAATTTGTTTTTTTCGCATGTTGCCAATCGTGGCAATTTTATCTTATTTTGTCGAAAAACTATCTACCAAACGAATTGAAGAATCAATGTAATAAATTTCAATTATTGAAATGCTTCCAGAAATTTGGTTGATTTTACGCTTTAATGGGAGATATAGATTTTATTTCTCTTATAGTACGGTTACCTTTTTGTGTGTGAAAAGAATGACTGAAGAATTAAATTAGCGCAAACCAGCTATTTTCCATTCTATCAATAATGCCAAATTAGGCAATTTTTTTTATTTTGCTAATAAACTTTTTCTTTATACTGTCTATTAAACAAATTAAATTATAATTAATACGGAACATCGATAAAATTTTCTGAATAAATTATTTCCGTCGCTTAAATCATAGATTTGCCAAAATTTTGTTAAATAGTTTTTTTCTTTTACGAGCTACTATACTCGTTTAAATACTCAATTGGTACAAATAAAGCAAGAAATAATGATATAATTTACAAATAGTTCGTAGAACTATTCAGCCGCCAAATTTAACGGCGCTGATATTAAATATATAAATCTTGTCTATTCCTCTGTTCTGATACACAAGTTGAAGCATATAAAGAAGTTACTCAGAATTATCAAACTATTATGGTAATTATAGATATAAATAGCTTAAACCTTTGATTTTGAATGATACGATCAAGTTAGAATATTTAGAAAGAATTAAATAAAAATGTAAATATAAGCCTAAAAAATATCTAAAAATTTATTTTTAATTTTACATAACTGGCTCAGAGATGATTAGGCGAAAAAATTCTTCGGTCTCATTTGATTTATTAGCGGCCGAATTAATGGTAAAGCAGAATTTTGACATGAATTGCGAAGAGTTAAAATTTATTTTCATATATAATAAACTTTTAAGTAAAATAAATTCCTTCCGATAAATATGTAGATTTGGATCTAATTTTTATATATTTTGACTTTATAAATATGGATAATATTCAAATTTGTAAATTATAATTTGAAAAAAATTATTCACCAATATTTATATATAAAAGGATTGCAGTTGTCGTGCTTTCCCGCTTTTTACCCTTTAGTCATTAAAAATCCCACCTCACTCTTAGAATATGTGAGGTATGGCCGGGCCTAAAATTTTTTACAATTTACAAAATGAGAAAATTGAATAAGACACCTATTTAATCTAGAATTAAAATATAGCCACTTTTTATAATTATTTTTTATTATCCTTTATTTATATACTCTTCTCAAAATTTAGAAAATGTTTTTAACAACCCTCCCCCCCCCCACCCTTGTCGTGGTAAAATATGTAAAAGTAAATAAATAAACACTTAACCCATTTTGCCCTGATTTCCCGATATTGGAATATCTTTATTTTCTTGATTTGGAATATTTTCTATTTATTTTCAAAAAATCCTGATTTTTTTAATTCCATTTTATTAAAAAAAATGAGTAAAAATGCTAACAAATTGAGTAGAAGCGTTTAGCGACGTTTTCATAAAAACGCTATGATTTAAATTGAACTGGTATTATTTTAAAAAATGATGAAAACTATTTTACGTTTTTTAATTTTTTTTTATATTGTTTAGTTAGACTTGTGAAATCAGCAAAAATAAAAAACTAAAATAATTGAAGATCTAATGATTTATTTCCATAATTTATTCTTCATAAATATTACAAATTTATGTAATCCAATAGAATATTTTGAATTTTTTTTTGATTAATTATAACTTTGCAGTTATTTCTATTTATTAAAATGCGAATAGAAGAAAAAGGAAAGGTCATAATATTCAAATGAATTAGTTACTACTATATCAAAGTTATATCGATGTGCATTATCTCAAAATTGTAATTAGGAGACATTAATCATCAGTAAAATCTTCTATAATTAAAATAATCTGAGAAAATCAATAAAAAATTCTTAGCTTTCAGTATATTTTTTTTTATCTAGATTAGAAATAAAGTATTAGTTTAAATGACATAAAGCACACTTTTAAATATTATGTTGGGGGGAGGGTTAACTTATTCTGGTAAAAACTTAACCCAAAATGTCCGCTCCATACTTACAACCATGAGTGAGTGAGACCAGGAAGACTAATATATTTTCTATCACATCAGATAGAAGTTACATGCTTATTAAATAAACAATACGTAATAAAATATTCTTAAAACATTTGCGTTTATGATTTAAGAAACTTCGGTTGGTAATAGATATTGAATATATCAATTTCACTTAAAATAAATTCACAATTTTCGCGGTCATGCGCTCGCTATAATAATTTCGTGCAAATACATTCGCGGTAGAAAATTCGCTATAAATGGTTCGCGATTAAAGTTTCGCTGCTAAAATGTATTCGCGGTTTAGGTTTCGCGGAAATAAATTCGCGATAATGAGTTCGCGATCAAAGTTTCGCCAAAATGTATTCGCTATAAAGTATTCGCGGTTAAAGTTTCGCGAAAATAAATTCGCTATAAAGAGTTCGCGATAGAAGTTTCGCTATAAAGTATTCGCGGTTAAGGTTTCGCGGAAATAAATTCGCTATAACGAGTTCGCGATCAAAGTTTTGCTAAAATGTATTCGCTGTTAAGGTTTCGCGGAAATAAATTCGCGATATTGCCTTCGCTATAAATGTTTCGCGAAAAAAAATTCGCGGAATTGGTTTCGCTATAAAATTCCTTCGCGATAAAAGTTTCGCTGAATTGACCTGATACGAGTTATTTATACCTTAAAATAATAATCAAAATTTATATAAAAAAATGAGATCTGTGATATAATTAAATAAAATCTACAAATTTTGTTTTACAAATAAGAGAAATCAGTGTTAATTTTTTTCTTACTTTTTTAACTTATTTTTATTTTGTATTATTAATTTTTTTATAAAGGATGAACCAAAGATATACTCTAAAAGTAGATATGAAGATCAATAAATTATGTTAAGAATATAAGATTTTATAAAAAAATATCCTTTCAATTAAAAATTATTTTGGATTATATGTCCTAGATGAAATAAGTTTTTGATCCATCTTAAAAGATGGATAAAGAGCTCACCTCACTTAATTTTTAAATTACTATTATGTAATAATCATTTACCATTTTTTTGTTTTAATTATTTCATCTTAATTATAATTTAAATGACAAATGAAAACATCTTTTATTTTTTTTCAATAAAAACATAATGTAATAATAACATTTTTTGCATGAGTATAAATAATAATATAAATCATTTAAATAAGGTTTATACAATATATATAAAAATGTAAATGTGTACACTTTAAAAAACAAAATGTATTTTTAACAATGTGATGATTCACATTCATATTATTTTTGATTATAAATATTCATTTTTTTTGATTCGATCATCACCTATAAAAAATAAAATATATTTACATTAGCATAGATAATATATAATATCATAATTTTTATAATATGTCTTATATCAGGCCTGATCTTTATACAATATAATTTTTAAAATATAAAAGAAGATATAAATATTAATTTACATGACTTATTGATTATTAAATTGTATTGCTTTTGCAAGATTCTGCCTCATACCAGTTCTCAATTCCTGGTTTCTCAAGTCAGCAAAATGAAAAATTTTATATTTAAATATCTTTAAAAAAAATAGTATTAAAACTAATAAATGATTACCTTTGACAATTAATTTTACAAGAATTTGAAAATGGCTGTAACCAGAGTTGTTAACGCTCCTTTTTAAAAGTAACGAGCTCCCGCTCCTACCTTCTCAAAAGAAGCGAGCTCCCGCTTCTACATATTAAAAGGAGCGCTCCCGCTCCAACTAATGGAGTGCCGCTCCATAACCGCTCCTTTGATTTTCATTTTTTTAGAAGGTACACGAAACAAAATTATATTTTTTATCAAAACGTTTTATTTATATTATATGATATATCAAAATATTTATAATCTTTTATTAGCTTCTAAAAGTAATAAATTTTCTAAATTAGAATCTAACAAACACCCACTCCTCTCCCTTAAGACCTGTTTTGCAATACTAAATAGGCGCTCCACAGGAGCACTAGAGGGAAGCGGGGTATTGTATTTTATATAAATATTTTTTAATTCAGGGAATTGTTCAAAAATAGTAATTTTGCTATCATTATTTAAAAAATATCTATCCAATATATTATTTTCATGGTGATCAATTTCATGGAATCCAAAGAAATCTTCCAAATCATTGCAAGGTTCCCGTGAACTAGTAGTAGCTATTTTTCCGTCGGGTATTTGTTTCCTTAAAAATTTAATTAATCTGCCTTTTAGTTCCATATTTTTTGGATTTTTTATCCATTCCCAATTCAATTTGAATGCAGGATGGACAATCGCTGCAATGATATTTTCATCATTATAAATATTTGAAAATCTGCAATAAAGTTATTTAAATAGATATAATTTATTTTTTATTATAAACCTTTTATTAATACCGCTTATAAGAGACTTTGCAAGAGGTTGGCAAAACTCTAAATCTGTTAATTCGTTTAATTTTGAAATAAGTTTAGAAATGGTTGGATTTAGGAAACCCATGTCCATATGAAGCTCCCCTTCAAGGATTTTTAGAGCTTTTTTCATAGGCTCCATAACCTAAAATTTATTTACTTCACTAAGATAACGATTTTATTAATATTTACTTGACTATACTCTTTAATAAATTTACCTTCTTGAGAGTTAAAGCGTATAAGCCCATTGTTATCACACAACTCATCAAGATCTTTTTGTTTTTCATCTTATATTTTATCTAGCAAACCATAGACTCATAATACGAATCCTACCTAGTGGAATTTGGGCATATTAGATACCTACCCAACTTTCTGATAATATCGTCAGCCATATTTGTAGACATATTTTGTTTATTCCACAAAGATTGACACTTTTGGAATAAACTTTGAGATACTATTTGAAAGCTTCTATCACCTAAAGCTTTCTCTGCGTCAACTGTTGCCACCAAATTGAGATTGTGGCAAGCACATCGTGAATGTTGAGGGAGATAATCAAAGCTTTCTGCCCTATTATTTAGGATATCATCAATATCCACAAATTGGAAATCATCATCCATCTCAGATTATATCTTCAAACATTCTAAAAAATAAAAGGAAAGTTATAATTTTAAAATAAATATTTAAGATTACCTGAATGCTTTCACAAAGTTTATACCATTATCAGTAATGGTTTTTATCACTTTATTTTGAATTTTAAAGCTTTTATGTATATCAATTATCATCTTGGCCAAAACATCAAAAGTATGCTTGCCTTGAACACGTCTTAGGGCTAAAGCTGCTGATTTTCTTTGCAATGATTTTGTGTCAATCTAATGAGCTGTTATACCCAAAAAAGACCTTTATAAGTTAAATTAATCAAGCACATTTAAAAATATAGGCACTACCTTCTAAATCCACTCCAGCAATCAGCTGTGGTACAAATATAAGATACTCCAGAAAGCATTTCTATAATATCATCCATCATTTTATCATAACGCAAACCTATCTTTGCTATTAGTGTTTGGCGGCACATTACCTTTGCTGAAGGGGAAAACGTTTTTATCATTTTGACAAAGCTAGGATTGTCTAGCGTTGATAAAGGAACTAGTGTCTCAATGACATAATCAATGATTGCATTATCTCCTTCAGTTTTTGTAGGTTCATATATTTTTTGACTAAAATTTAATATTGACTGTTTTTTCTCAGAAGACTTTATATTTTGGCTAATATCTTTTTTATTATACTATTGATATGATTTTCAATTTTTGTATATTGATTAACATGTACTCTCTAAATATAAATTTATAAATTAAATTAAAATTTATCTTATAAAAATCAACTTTATTTTTAACTGATAATCTAAAACATCAAATTATTAAGGTAGATTTTTTAAATAAGAAATTGACAAATATTTAATGAGCAGTATAAATATCTTTTTAGTTACTTTATTTTTTTATTATTTTGTTTTACTTATTTTATTAATATAAAATAAAAATAAATAATTATTTTCCAAGTTTATTGATCAAAATAAAATAAGAAAAAATCAAATTAAGATTAAATAAAATATAAATTTTACCATAATAAAATGTATATTTTTAATTTGGATGTTACAATTCAATTTAAAAAAATACTTTAAATTTAGAAAAAAAATGTATAAAAAGGAGGTTGAACAAGTTATGAGAAAATTAAAATAAATATTAAAATATAAAAAAGCATCATATCTGACAACCCAAGCTCAACTAATATAATGAATTGCCCAAAAATAATTAAAACCATTTTAAAAAAATTATTACAAAATAAACAAATATTGATTTTACTTTTAAATGTTTTTTTAAATTAAAGCTCGAGATTTTAGAGAAAGATATCCTTTTGTTGTTAATACATAATAGGCATTTCGCCTTTAAGTTGACTTTATCATCTGTATCATCTATAAGCTTGAAATATTTTTTATATGGTGGAAATGGAAATTCGATTTCTTCTTCTATGATCTCTAAATCCATAATATCTAAAACTATTTTTTATTATATATCTATAAAATGAATATTAATATGACTTACAAGATTTTTCAAAAAATTTTCAATATAAAAAGGATAAACTGATGTTTAATGTTTAAAATGATTAGATGAAAAATCAATATAAAACTCGGCTCAACATTTAATAATGAATAAATTTAAATAAAATAAAATTTTATTTTCATTAAATTTTAAATAACAAATATTATTAATATTTAAAAAATAATATAATTTATATATTAAATTTAAAGCAACCTTAAAAGGAGCTAGCTCCTCATTCTTAAAAAGGAGGGGCATTCCAGCTGTTTTTGAGAAAATGTAGCGGCGAACAAATCTCATGTTCATTAATATGTTCAGAGATCAATAAAAATATTTGAAGCAATTATTTTGGAAAAAACGAACACTTCCATTTTTTAATAATATTTTTATGTTTAATATCATTTTGATAAGTTATAAATTAACTTTTACAAATTCGGCATAATATTGACATACTAGATCAAGGAAATACCTTTTTTTCTTTAATAAATTGTCGTACTATATATCCCGAAATATAAGTTGATACATTATCTAAATATAATGATAATTTTGGGATATGGGGATTTGTTAGGCCAAAATAATAAGATAATGTGGTGGGTATTATAGGATTTGAAATAGTTTTGATAGATATATTCATCATCATGATTATTTTGAAATTTTGAACATATTAAATGTTTATTGTCTAAGGAAATGCAATTTCCTGTAATTGTTGCATCCAGTTTTGCCATTAATGAAATGCGAACAGCGGATCGAACCTGATATGCTGATTTATCATTAAATCCACTCCTGCTATGAATACTACAAAAATATAATTCTAAGTGGTCTGGAGAGGTTTTGTACGTTAAAAAGAACCTTAAAAAATTATTATATTATAGTTATATGAATAACTCTTGTTATAAATTAAATATAATACTTCATTTTTGGGGTTTCTCCAATTAATAACTCCTTCCCCATTTCCAGGATGCTTGTCATAGAAAGAATTAGCCCTTCAACACATGTTTTTTTATTAGATTTATAGACATAAACTCCATTTGTTAACTTGAGTGATTTTAAAGTTTTAATGCACTTGTCAAAATGAGTTTCATATTCTGCCATAGTATTAGTATATAAAGGGGCTTCATATCCTTTACCAAGACAATTTCTTGTATTAAGATAATCAAACATTCTATAGATTATTCATAAATTTATATCATTATTTTTATTTTACTGATCTATCATCAATATAAAATTAATTGTACCATCACAATTTTCAAATCCAGGAATCTTCTGATGATGGGCAAAAATAAGGCTATTTGCAACAGATGCACTAAAAACTTGAACTGCAAGTTTTACCTTTAAAAAATAATTATATATTTATTATCAAACTTTCATTTTTTATTTGTGGAAAGCAATGTGCTTTGCGCAATTTATTTGCAGCATGTAAACCTTCACACTCCTGCAATTTATGTCAATTTTGTATATGCTTCCAATCTATTAACTATAAATACAAAATAAATAATTAATCAAATTTAATATAGTTAGCTATATCTCCATCTGATTCATTTATTAAAATTTCCTCCTCTGCTAATAGATTTCTAAGTAATTTGAGCACATGACAAACATCTAGTAACATATATTTTATCCGAATCATAAAATTCCAGCTCAATATATGGAACGATATTATCAGGATCCATACTAACACCAAGCAGTTTGCTCATTGTTTTTATTAACAGAACAACCATCGCATACTATGGCCTTACAGATAACTCCAGTTTCATTTAGATTGAACAATGCATCTCTCACTAAATTTGCTAGGATATCTGAATTCATTTGTGAAACTAGAAAATAGGCTATTGGCATTTTCCAGCTGCTATTAAGACAGGTAGCCATAAGAAACAGTGCCTTTGTTGCTTCTGGACAAGATTTATCTTCTTTTGTTGATTTTGTCCTATCACCTAAATCAACATAACCATGATATTCTGCTTTGTGGGGGTCATAATCTATTTGTGTTTTAATATGCATTTCATGTAATAAATATGTTGCATATAAAAAATAATATATATACTTGTGATAAGAAATATGTATTAGATTATATATTATTTGTTTTATTACAATTATGAACACAGCACACTCCCATTATCTAAATAAAATAATAAATGATGGTGATTGCATGTATCCTAACATGCATTTACATAAGATTTATAAGTCCATGCAGGATTAGGTTAACCTATATTTTAAAAAATTAAAAGGTGGGTTAGTCTGAGATTCATTTTTAAAATTTAATCGCCTAGTCAATCTTCATAAAAAAAATCTTATGAAAATTTAGGAACAAAAGATACTATAAAATATTATATCATAAATCGAAACCTTTAAAACTAAATTATCTGGTTGGTATAACTTTCATATAAAAACCTTTCATATAAATAATTGCGTCATACGTCATACGTCATAATAAGCGCAATTACCCTTTATCGCTATATGAAACAGCAGAGCTACGCTTGGACTATCTCATCCCATCTAATTGGGTTAAGAAATTTGGGGGTAACCTATGAGATGAGCCCATCCACAGTTTTTGGGCAGGCTGCAGTTACCTGTGCGCGCAAGAGGCGAAACCACTTGCTTAAACGCCTACGGGAAATAAGAAGAGAGAGAAAAGCCCGTACCCGATTAAGTAAAATGTAAATTATAGGGAGGGGTATTGGTAGATTTTAAGTTTATGGTCTATATTGAATTTGTTTATATAATAAAAATATGATATATTTTTTTAAATAAATCTGCCTTACTATTTAAGAATTTTAGATTAGTGAGTTAAGTATATTTTGGATAATTATATCAAGGTAGGTACATGAAGAGTTTTATAAACAAATAGATAAATGTATGTTTACCATGGCGGGAGGAAAGTGGTGCTTATGTTGCTGGGGGGGGGGCTAAGAGATTTGGAGGGAGCAGGTAGCCCGATTTGATTTTTAGAAGCTTTTTTATTGAGCTTTTATTATTGTTTAGACGTATGAATTGTTCCATCGTTAGATTTAGGCTTATGATTTCTTTTATCGTTCTGTATAGCCAATATGACTTGTATTTACCGTATGTTTTACCTTCATGAGACTCGAGCCAGATTATAGCTTCATGGACTATGTTTTGTCTGAAGTTTCTGATGGTGTGACCAAAGAGTTGAATGTGTCTTTTTTTTGAGAGTAGTCTCGATCGGGACATTTTTTGAGATTCGCCATAGGCTGGCATTCGAAATTATTCTTGGATAGAAAATACCGTTGAGCTGGCGCAGACAGCGGTTTACGAAAACTTGTATTTTCTTTGTCTGAGATTTATTTATTTCCCAAGTGTCGCTGCCGTAGAGGAGGACTGGAATGACTGTGGCGTTAAAAATTCGGAGCCTCGTTTTGACTGAGATCTCTCTCGCTGTCCATAGTTTGTAATATTTCATAAAGGTTATTTTGGCGTTTTTTAGTCGGGCTTCGATTTCACCGCTGATATTTCCTTTATTATCGATAAGTACGCCAAGATATTTAAAATTGTTAACTATTTTAATTTCATTTCCCTCAAATGTTAAGTTATTTATAGACGCCTCTGGGGATGGCATAATAAACGTTTTATTAAAGTTTATGGTTAAACCTACTTTGTTGCTATGAAAGCATAAACTTGTTAGTAAGTCTATTGTCTCATCTCTTGATTTGGTGATTAAAACTAGATCATCTGCGTATGAGATGATTCTTAGGTGATTGATATTATTATTGTTTGATGATATATCAACTAGGTTCATGGTGCTCGTGGTTTCCTTTATAATTTTGTTTATGATTATATTGAACAAAATAGGTGATAGTACACAGCCTTGTTTTACCCCTCTTTTAATCTTGAAGTAAGGTGAGAAAGTTTGGCCTAGCTATGTGGTTAATAAGTGAATGTATGGAAATATTCTAAATACCAACCTAATTTGCTAAATACCGACCAAAATATATTAAAATGTAATAAAACTCTTATTATTTAATATATTAATATGGAATCACGTGGTCGAAGCAGGCCTCCTATATATTACCCCCCCAAGGATGGAACCACCAAGTTAGAATAAGAAAAAAAACGTGACCATTTCCGGGATATGAACCCGGGACCATGGGATTAGTAAGCCAAGCTCTTGCCTACTAGGCCATAGAGGCTTTCCAAAAATCACGATTTTCAAATATATATTATAAATACGTTTAATTTTTTATAACCAACGGGTATAAAGTCGCAATTATCACAACCAATCATAAAAAAGTCGCAATTATTCTCAGTAGCAATTTTTTATATTAAAGGTTTTTATATGAAAGTTAGGGAAACGAAATTTTATCGTAGTAGACTATATATTATTATTTCTTGCTGACAAATAATGGATAACCAAACTACAAAATGGCGCTACAGCTGATTACAATGTGTGGACACTTTTATAATGCATTGAATGAACGAATCGCCAATCTATAGTTATATATATCATTGTGGCAGAGACTCTATCTCGTTGGACAAGGTTGCAATTTTTTTCCCTGTTGGACAAGAAGTTTCAGAAATAATAATTATTTGACTAGAAATTTGAAAATGGTAGATAAATATTACGCCACTAAAAATTTGAAAATAATAAGTAAATATTACGCCGGAAAACTTGAAATCGATATTGATTGATAAAATAACTTAGTAGATAAATGTAATTAAATATATATTGAATATGAGATACGAATAAATATTAACAAATATAAATTAATATTAACAATAATATTTTTGAAAAATATATCCGGCATCTGCATTTTTTGGCTTTGGGAAGGGGTGGGGGGAGATTTGTCCCTTTGCCCCCCCCCCGCTGCGTACGCCAATGTTTATTTCATAATATTTTATAGATTCATATTACAGGTTCTTTGTTTCGTCGTCGTCAATTTAATAAATGGGATACACATATCATTTATTTAAACATGTACATTCACAAGGTTGTTAAACATACGGAATTGATTGCGGAAATTACATTATGATACATTCTATGTTAGGTAGTTAACCTTACAAATTATTATAATCATAAAATTCTATATATATATATATATAATCATTATAAACCAAATAATAAATTACTACACTTTCCATGGCAGTTTTGTTCTAATTTATATTCAATATTATCATAATATTTTTAATCAATCCTAGGTTATGATATATTCTTACCAATATTGGTTGTCGAGATCTTTAATCGATTTCTTTTCTTCATATGAATATTACCCCAAATAGACAAATTTCTTTCTGAAAATGGTATAACTATGAATTGTGAGTAAGATATTAGACACATTTCTCTCAATGTTCAAGGTTTGCAAAGCCCATTCTAACAACTTGAGCCCGAAATCTGATTGTTATTTATGCAAGCTGTTTCCACATATTTTGGCGATTATATACCGTTACTTTTACTTCTGAAATTTATGATATAACTAAAAGGTAACAGATTAAATCATGGGGAAATTTTCATATATTATTTTTTTTTAATATTTTTTTTTATTTATTTTTTTAAATATATTTTTTTATTTATTATTTTTTTTAAATTTAAAAAAAATCTTAAGTATATTTAAGAATTTAGAAAAAAAGAGTATATTTAAGAATTTAGGAAAAAAGAGTATATTTAAGAATTTAGAAAAAAAGAGTATATTTAAGAATTTAGAAAAAAAGAGTATATTTAAGAATTTAGAAAAAAAGAGTATATTTAAGAATTTAGAAAAAAAGAGTATATTTAAGAATTTAGAAAAAAAAGTATATTTAAGAATTTAAAAAAAACAGAGAATATTTAAGAATTTAATAAAAATAGGTATACTAAATAATTAATCAATTTATTTGAATAAACATAACATATATACAATGATAATAGATATATATATTTTTAAGGAAAAACAAAAATAGTTCTATATAAATTTATATCATTTAAAAATTTAATTAATTTATTTATATTAGACATATTTTTAATAAGAAATACACATATTGGTGAAATTTATGTTATCCATAAAGAGGTAAAATGTTAAATTTAAAAAACTTTGATATTGTATCAAAAAATTTCCTTCAAAATCCACACGATATTTATTTATCAAAAAAAAAAATCTAAAAATACGCCAATTGAAAGAAAAAGGTAACATTCAAAAATTTCTACCAAAATCCAGACAATCTAAAAAAAATAAATAAAAAAAAAATATTAAAAAAAAATAAATAAAAAAAAAATATTAAAAAAAAAAAAAAAAAAAAAAATAATATATGAAAATTTCCCCATGATTTAATCTGTTACCAACTAAAATATTTTGATTATCACTTTGTAAAATGACTAATTCTTGTATTATATCACATGTTTCTCAAACTCACTACTATGCTTCCCTTATATTGAGAATCCAATAAATAGGGATGTACCGATATTTTATATCGGATCGGGCAGATATTTCGCCCATTTTAAAATATCGGTTATCGGAAAATATTCTAAAATTTTCCGATCCGA